ACTCAGAGAACACAAAGGAATGCTGAAGTAAGACTGCAAGGTCAGATACAAAACTGGTTAATGTCCTACAGGGCAACAAAACTATAATTTTCGGGGTTTTTTTTTTTATACCACATAGAAATCATTTGCATCTCTACCAAACAGAAAAATCATTTACGTTTTAACAGTTTCTACACAGCACCATCTAATTTTACGGAGTTATAAATGTCTGGACTCTAATTAATAGTAAATAGTAAGTCAAAGTCACCTTCCCCTAGGTAGCCAGATCTCAGATAGGCTTCTTAGACATTGCTTTAATTTAATATTGAAAGGACTTTTCGTTTTTTTCTCCAAGTTTTTATTTCCTCTTAATAGAGAGAAAAATCAATATAATTTGCTTCAATGGGTGTTAAAGAAGGGCAAACAATAGTGAATGTGGGAGGCATAAGGACTGGAGGCACCAGGGGTCTCTGCCTGGCTTGGCCGCTCACCAGCAGTACCACCTGAAATCTCGTCTCCCTGGATCTCAGTGTCCTCGTCAACAAAATGGTTTATTGAACAACACGCTTGGCAGGATTTCGTCCTAAAGGTCATTTTCAAAATTAAAAAAAAAAAAAGAAAGAAAAGAAATGTACCACTTCCCTTTCCCCACACTAATCCTGAAAGAGAGAAAGAGGAAGGGAGAAGTGGGCACACGGAAGAAATTTATGCACAAACGTTCCCCGGCCAGAAGGTAGTTTTGACGGCTGCAGAGACCAGCACCCAATCGTGCATCTTTCCCGGGTGGTGGGGAGAACGGAAACGGGGCTTGGCCTGCACCGAGCTCAGTGGCGCTCACAGGCTGCGCTCCCTCGGTGGAGCGCGGGACAGGAGTCACTCGCAGGCCGATGGTGAATTTCCTCACCAGCATCACACTTCTCTGCAAAAAGTCAAACTGCTCTTTTCTCCTGGCCGCGCCGGAGTGGCGGCTGATCATCTGGCCGCGGAGCTCCCCGCGTGCCCCGAGGGAACCCACCCAGCCGCTGTGGCGGTGGCGCACCGGCGGCCCCTCCCCGCGCCCTGACCGCCGCGGCGCACGCGGACGCGGACGCACGGCCGGCCCGGCAGAGGTGGCCTGCAGGACGGGCCAGATCTCTCGCGGGTCGGGGGCGGGGTGCTGTGTCAATGAGCCACCCTTACTTCGTTAAGCACACGCTGCCATTTCAGGCCACACTTGCCAGTTGCCATGGGCATTTTCTGATTTGACACAAGCAGGGACGCGCTGGCGCTCTTGACTTGGAGTTGCAGATTGTGGATGTTGGTGTCCCGCTGCCTTAGCCAGAAAGGATGGAGGGTGCTTCCCCCTCACTCGCCTTCTCATTTTCCTTCTCTAGTCGCTGATATTGGCTAAGCGCTGAGAATTTTCTGTTAGGCCTGAGCCATGGGTCCTCCTTTCCCTGGGAGGTGGAAAGGTATTCAGAAAAGAAATCAGCTTCTCTTTATTCTCAGAGACCACTTGAACACACCGCTCTTCATCTCCAAAGTAGATGGAACCATGGAGCCCTGCCCTCTGGTTGCTTCTGTTAACTCTAACTCCTATCAGATCCGCCAAAGCCAAGACCTGACTCTCTCCAGCGCACAGGCATCCCGACAAGAGAAAGCAAGGATGGGGGGACCAAGAAGACACCAAGAGGTGTCTGAACCCGCAGAAAGGGCTTTAGAACGCAATGCTGTGCACATGGCCAACCACTGCTTCTTAATGGGGTGGGGGAGTGGAGTGGGGAGCGCTGTGCACATTTAGACAGTTCTTCCCGGGTTAGGACAGGGCTGCCTTACAGGAAGTGTAACATCACTCGCCTCCCCCTGCAGTAAATGCAAGTAGTGCCTCCCCATCTTTGTGACAGCCCAAAACACCACCACCTATGTCCAAACACCCTGTAGAGAGTGAGGTGTCTCCTTAGGTTGAAAACCATGGTTAGATCATTTCCTAAAATATATCCCAAAAGACATTAATTAGTTCTTTGAGATAGAACTAGGTGTTATGTGAAAAGAGTTCCATGGTCAGTGTCATGATGACTTTGGGAAATGGTGGGTTAAAAAGGGGAACAGGATTTACTTACAGGACTTCTCAGATCCTTTATTATATAAATACATGTTTTGAATCACCAAGAGGGAGATAAAGTCTGCAGATTCCCACATTTAATTGACCGTGGAATTCTTTCTCTTTAGGGCTCCCTTTGCATGGAATCTATCTTGGATGACTCAGCTATACTGTATCCTCCAGAGCATTCTCTGGGGACTTCTGTGTCCCCCCCCATCCCCCCACAGTGTGAAGTACAGGAGTGAGCAGTCAAAAGGCCCTTATGTTTTTACTGAATTGAAACACCTTCAGAACTCTGGCAGACTATTAATAGAATGTGTGAAGATACCAGGAAGGAGGCCAGAGCCTCAGGAAACCACTGCAAAGATGACCTCACAAAGAAACCAGTGTGGTGGGGCTCCTGGACCACTCGGGGGGACGTGACGTGTCCTGCTCCTGCTAGGGCGCAGCCCAGCTGGCGCCTTGGGTTTGCATGGTTCAGGAAAAGGAAAATAGCCCAGGTGTTTAGAAGAGAAGTATGTGTGGATGAAATTATTCAAATGTTGACAGATGGATTGGGTCTCCTCTCCTGCTGGCCTGGCAGCCTCTGTGTGGAAAGCCTTGCCCAGGAGCTGGGTTATAGCAGCTCTGGTGAGATGCTGGAAATATAAGCCCAGACAGATAAAATGGCAGTGAGTCACAGTAAACCGACAACCATCGGGTGCCCAGGAGGGAGGCTGAAGCCAGGAGCCGCACTGGGCAGAGTGGAGCGAGGAGCAGGGCTCTCCTGTTGTACAAAACACAAAGAGCAGAGTGTTCAAGTCCAAGGATCAGGTTTCTCAAGATGGAAGCCCAAGCTGTGCATGCTGAGCTCCAAGGTCAGGGGTACAAAAACCTGCCTATTCCCATGCAGGAGGGTGCCATCCAAATATACCCACTTCTCCTAGGTCATGGGCAGGGGGCCAGGAGCGACAGGGCCCTGCTGCTTCCCGTGTAAAACTGGGTGAGCAGCCCAGTGCTGGCAGGGGCCTGGCACCTCACCCACACCCTCCCAGGCTGGTAACCTGTGTTCTAGTCTCCACGTGCTCTGTGCCAGTGCAACTTCCCTCTGAGTGGTTATAAACTGTTGGCTCTTAAATGTTTTTCCAGATTAACCGGACTAGCCAGTGCCTAAGGAGACAGGATCAAAGCTCCAAAGAGAGGAAAGAAAAAGTAGCAATCCCTACTTCTCCAGGGCTGGGGGGCTCTGAGGACCCTGCTGAACAGCCCAGGGTGTCTTAAAAAAAAACAAAAACAAAGCCTGGACAACTTTTTTTGCTCACAGGTCACAGTCAAGTTTATTAAACTTGGATGACAGTAAACCTATGACTAACTGGATAATTAAAGCCACAAGTCTAGAGGCTTGGGTGGGTCCCTCCTCTGGAGTCTCCAGTGGTCTGTCCCATAGGCAAGTGTCTCTCGTCCTCCCCGTAGCAGAAATGCTTTTGTGAATTTGAAACCCTCGGTGGTGACCTCTGCCTCCTCTCAAGGTCCATTGCCTCATCCACCCACGCCACCATCCCTGTCCACTGCAAGGAAGGAGGAAATCTAACCCACAGGCCACAGCGCAGCCCAAACTCCCCGCCCTGCCCAGAGAGAACACGACAGAAGATTTCCAACTAAAACCAAAGTTTCTCAGCAAAGCTTCCTGCCAGGCAGCCGTGCTGGAGGGCGCAGCGTGCCTCCCTCTGCTCTTTCTGTTCTATGAAACTTCTCTGCTTCAAGCCCTTGAGAGCCTCTCCACTTCCTGGGGAGAGTGGGCTAAACTTCAAAGCAGACAAGGCCCGGCTAAGAAACCCCTGGGTTGCTTCAAAGACTGTGTCTCCTCCCTCTGAAGCTTCTGGTGAATGTTTCTCCCTCATTTCTGAAACAACATAAAGAGCTGCTGAAGTTTACAGTGTCCCCCAAGGCATTTCTGTGGTTCTACCTTTAATCTAGGGCTCATGGGGCTCTGCAGGAATGTCCTGGCCCTTACTGCCTTGGGGACATCCCTGTGGTGCCTCTGCACTGGGCTCCAGCCCACCTCCCTGACTGCCCCAACCCCCCTGTTCTCTCCCTGGTGTGTGCCCTTGTCCACTGAGGGTGGCGGAGGGGCTGCAACTAAGGGTACGGTGGGCTATGTGATTTTTTGTGTGCTATTCCAGAATAGGTTTGTTTTAATTAAAAAAGAAAAAAGTTCCCTCCAAATCTTTGAGGACCTTTGATTTTAGGAAGGTGTGGACCATGTTTAGCCCATGGCTCTGTGTACCCCTTGGCCTACAGCTGCTTAACCCTAGATATAAGGTCCCTAACAAGAGAAGCAAGAGTGATTTGGATTTGTACTTTTTAGCAAAAACCTCTTTCTACTAGCTAACCTGTAAAACTCTAGAGGGCAGGGGTTCTCTGACATTGAATCTCATGGGCTTGCAACAGTGCCTGGAAAATAGTAAGCGTTCTCTGGTGATTGTGTTTGTTGGATTATTATCTGTCCTTAAAAAGAAAAAAAACATTAAAAAGTCACTGTTTCAGTACAGGTGGTGTATTTGCAAGTGTTAAAACCAAACTCATGTTGAGAAATTGCGTATGCATCATCTATATCTCGCGTCATCGGGAGCTAGTGTTACCAAACCTCTTGTCTCACCCACCATCTTATCATCTATGTTGAGCAAACTAAGACACAGAGAACCAGAACAGCCTTCAGGAGACCTTCAGACTGATAAGGGCATTTGAGTCAAAGAAATCCTGCAGAGTTCTAAAGCAAAATGAAAAGTATAAAGATGATTGTCCTGTGAAGTGACCTCAAGCCTCAGAGCTGCATCAGATGTCACCATCTGCCTCTGGTCTCACCATAGGGCCACTGAGGATGCGCAGTGTGGAGCCTCTTTGCTGTGGCTGTGACTTCCTGGCCGGCTAGGTCTGAGAGAGGTAGGGAAAGAAGCGTGTGGGAAAGCTCGATGAGGCAGGGGGCGGGGGGTGGGTGGCCTGTGACACACAAAGCCACAAGTGGGGACCACCTCCTCTGGAGAAGCAGCGTGGTTGTCCTGCCTCACCCAAACACACACTCCAACTTAAAAAATCATTGTGCATGACTCCAAATACAGATCCATGCTGTACATGTGCATGTCCGGCCAGATTTCTTTGTTCCTGGGGAGAAACATAAACTATAAACATCACATTCCTTTTCAGGGTTGAATTATTACTGCTTAAAAGTCAAAGAAAAAAAAGTGAGTCAAACCATCTATTAACAGAAAAATTTAAGTAAGAACAGCGTGAGTTCCTGCCAGTTGCTGATGACGGGTTTTCCAGAAGGGAATGATGCGCCGCCAAGGCGGTTATTAAGTGTGATGATAACCACCAATTTAGTGAAGGGTCAGTGGTATGTTTGCTTATTTATTTATTTTTAAATATCGAAACCCTCTGAGTTATACACTGATCATTTACTTGAAATAATACCAAATAGTAGCATTATGGTAATAGAAAGAATTCAACCACTTCCTGGCTCATAATGAGTATTTCATTTTATTCTACTTTTCTAGAGTTTAGACATCACTTGGAAGTAATCTCTAAGTTGGGTCAACCCAAATCTAAGGAAATCTTCCCTGGTGTCCCTTGAGCTTGTTAACCCCAAGACAGTCTCTGGGATACCCTCTAAACCATGTGACTAAGCCCCTGAACCCCAGGCCATCTGCTGCCACAAGCCAGGGCACCGGGCCTGGAGGGCCGTGTTGGTCATAATGAGCCATCTGGCTGCCTGGCGGAAGGAGCCCACGGGCAGGTGTCTGGGATGTTACTGACATTCGTTACCACTGACTTTTGCCAAGAAGAGAAGCAGGTTTGGTTTTATCCATAACAGCCCAGCCTGGTGATAAGAATGCCTCCTCTTGGTCGAGGACACTTTAAGGAACTAGGCTCAAAATTCTCAACATTGACACTGAATTTTTTTCTTGAGCAGTGGACCCTGCCCCACTGGGCTGTTCTGGGACTTCATTCTAACCATTCCCCTCCTCATCCAGAACAAAGGGGGTCTCTACATAGCTTATTGCCTTTGCATTTTTCCTGACCAAGCACAATGGCAGGGCCAAGGCTTGGCTCTTAGAGATTTCCTTTGTTTATTAGGTTTCTCTCTAGAGAAACAGAACCAGTAGGAGATCTCTCTCTCTCTCTCTCTCTCTCTCCCCACACCCCTTTCTCTCTGTGTGTGTATGTGAGTGCATAAAAGGAGATTTATTATGAAGAATTGACTCATGGTTGTAGAGGCTGAGAAGTCCCATGATCTGCTATCTGTAAGCTGGAGACCCAGGAAAGCCCGTGGTGTGATTCAGTCCAACTGCGAAAGCCTGAGAACTAGGGGAGAAGATGGTTTAGGTATCAGTCAAGGGCTGGAGAAGATGAGATGATATGTCCCAGCTAAAGCAGTGAGGAAGGAGAAAATGTGCAAATTCCTTCTTCCTCTGCCTTTTATTCTATTCAGGCCCTGAACAGATTGGATGATGCCCACCCACACTGGGAAGGGCAATCTACTTGACTGAGTCCACCGATTCAAATGCAAACTGCATCTGGAAACATCCTCCCAGACACACTCAGAAACAAGGTTTTAGTGACCCCCAAGCACAAGTCCATGCAGCCCCCAACCTGCTTCTTTTTGGTGTGCAGGGAGTGAGGGGCCACTGCACAGCTCCCACCATGGACCCCCGCTCCTCTGTTCTCTCTGCCACTTAGAGGGAGTCTGGACACATGTTTCCTGGACCAAAGTCATCCCTGAGAGCTGTAGTTTCTTCCTGCCTCGGCTCCCACACAAACACAAAAGCCTCCTCCCTGTTTACTAAGCCAAAGAATGGCAGGATTGAAACTTTCGAAAGAAGAGCTAACGACAGCTTTAGCCTTAGCATTCCACAACTCCTTATTCACACTGGGACTTTTGTAACTCCGGGACAGCTGGAGACACATGACTGTGAGTTCAAAAGCTCATGTGAAGGACGCTGGCCTCAAGGATGCAGGGGAGGCTGGTTAGGGTTCCTAGCCTGCTCTTTGGACTTGGGGCAGGGGGATCTGATGTTCCAGACCACAGCACAGTGGCAAGAAGTCCCTGGACCCTCAGGAGTAAGTGAGCAGATGGTCACAGTCAGGGTTCAGGCACCGCTGGCCACAAGTGAGCCCAAGACACAGGCTCCAAAGCCAAACTAGCCAAGAAACAGACAGGACCCAGAGCCCGAGCACACACAGGCAGCCCCCTCACGCCAGCCTAGCCAGATGCTCTGCGATGTTGGCGGGCTCCCTGGGATCACACACCAGTTAGGTCTTGGGGGCTGACTATGAGCCCTGGCATCTCTTTTGGACTGAATTGTGTGGAATGTGCTAAAAGGGGCTTTGGATTCCAAAAACCTTAGAGCCCTGCAAGGTACCCTAGATAGCATCTATTCCAGGGTTCCCAACAGTGAGACTGCTCTTCAGAATCATCTAGAATATTTTCAAAATATGGATTCCTAGGCTCCAGCTCCGCCCCCCCAACACACACACACACACACACACACACACACACACACACACACACACACACACAGGGGGTTCTAATGAGCAGTGAGGTTTGGGAACCGCTGATGTAGTCCAAACTCTTCATCTTGGTTTTTCAAGTACAGTACTAGGTTAAGTGACTTTTCCAAAGCCACATAGCTGGTTTGGCAGGACTTGGATTAGAGTACAGGTCTCTTGACTATAATCAGGGCTTTTTCTACAATGCACTTTCCTGAGGGTACCCATAAATAGGGCTGCCAGACTACACCAGAGATTTTTGGTTGTGGAAAGAGGGTAAGAGGTACAGTCTAAGGCCAAATGTGGTGACTTGTGCCTGTAATTCTAGCACTTTGGGAGGCTGAGGCAGGAGGATCACTTGAGGCCAGGAGTTCAAGACCAGCCTGAGCAAGAGTAAGACCCCATCTCTATGAAAAATAGAAAAATTAGCCAGGCATGGTGTCATGAGCCTGTAGTCCTAACTACTCAGGAGGCTGAGACAAGAGGATCGCCTGAGCCCAGGAGTTTGAGGTTGCAGCCACTGTACTCTAGCCTGGGGCAACAGAGCGAGACCCTGTCTCAAAACAAACAAAAAAAAGAAGCAGTCTTTGTGCATGTAAATTAACCCCAGATAATTTTCCCAATATT